AAAAAAAAAAGATAAAAAAAAAAAAAAAAAAAAAAAAAAAAAAAAAAAATTTGTGACAAACCTTTTGGTTCCTGTTTCACTCTATATTCCAGCTCAGTATATTCATAACAAAAACATTTGCACAAAGTAAATCAAGAGAGAAAAATCCCGAAATTCTAGAAGAAAACCCTTAATTCATCAAAAGCTAAAGCTTTTCAGAAATAATAGACATTTAACTAAACTGAGCTATATTATTGAAAAAAAATTATTCTAGTAAAATTATATCTATTAAATTAGATATTTTTTTTTACTGTAATTAGATTTAATCTCATTGAAATTGAATCAAAAACCTGCTAAATAGAACCCAGTGGGATTCTAACTCAGTTGAAAATGTAAATTTAATTTAATTTAATTCAATTCAGTTTATTTCTATAGCGCCAATTCACAACACATGTCATCTCAAGGCACTTTACAGTTCACCAGATCATCCAGTCAGATTGATTAAGTTTTCTATTTAAGGAAAACCAGTTGATTGCATCGACTCCTTGACTCGAATGCAATCCCTATAATAATAATGCAATTATTTTGAATAAAATACAATCTTACAATCACATTAAAATTAGTTCAGTGTTTTTATTTTACCCGTAATATAAAAAGAGTTGAACTTCTTATTCTAACGGTCGATCTGAGGAAACTGTCAGGACTTTTTACCTTCAGTCGAGCAAAAAAGTTTCATCATTTAAAAGTATAATTAATTCAAATTTTATGAATTTAATAATAACCTTAATTTGCATCATTATTTTCTGTCCATTTTTAAGTGTTTATTAATCAATAATAAATGAAAAATGTTGTATTTCTAATCTGTATTCTGTTTTAATCTAATGCTGTAATAACTGAAATAAATACATGTTCTATCAAGAATCAGTTCAACTCTGATCTTTGGGATCAGCGGTGTGATTCATGGACTCACAGTCAGTGACGGTGTCATTGATGGTGATGGTCGTTCTGCTCGGTTCTCCTAATACGGCGTTCATGGGCATCCTCAGCACCAGGTCAAAGGTCTCGGGCCCCTCCAGTTGTGGCTGACCCAGGTCATCCAAGATGGTTACCCTGAATGTCTGCATGGTCACTCCAGGAGCAAAGTCCAGGTTCCGACTGATGCCAACGTAGTCGAGTCCAGCTAGACGGCGCAGAGAAGGTTGTTTATCTGTGACTGGGAGTCCAGTTTTATGCCAAACTGTCTGTTTTACCTTCTGCAGAAACCGGATCGCTCTTCTTGGAGCGAACGGTAACCGTGGCGGTCTTGGACAGGTCAGTACCTGTTCTCCAGACCTTCACCTCCACATAGCCAGAACTCTCCTCCACGACATATTCAGGCTCTCCAAAGTACACCGCAGGCTCTATGGAATAACAGGAAAGGGGGTATATCAAACAACTTTTTATACATTTAACATTTACATTAATCCCCTTATTTTCCCTTTTAAAGATAAAACCCCTCACCTATCCACCTTATTTTCGAACACGGAAGTAAATATAGATCAAACTTCTGGTCTAACTTTTGTGCATCACTTCTGTTTCAGTGCTTCCCTATGCAAACTAAGTGTAGCTTTACTGATTTAGTAAACAATGTTGAGGCAACATTTCCCTAATTGGCTGAGCGATCAGTGTGGGAGGTCGGTGCCAAACCCTCACACTATTTGTGAGTGGGAGGATGATATGAAGAGGTGGCCGCATATAACATATGAGGACATTTTAAACTATTTTGTATTGTCACTTGGTGTGGATGGATCTACAATGCACAACTACAAGAGTACGGAGGCGTATCTGTACCTCCATTGCAGAAAAGTTGGCAAGGCGTTAATCAGTAACAACATCAACGATCTGATATTCCTGAAGGCTGATGTCTATCCAAGCCAAAGCAAATCCAACGCTCATTCGGCATGGATCCTGACCAATGTTCCTGTGTTGCGGGTCAGGGGAAGTCATGCAGTCATGCAACGGCGATTTTGTATAAGATAACATAATGAATTGTCTGTTCAATCCAATAATTTACCGGCTGTTGCATTGCTGTTACTCGTTACCAGCCGTGTTGTTTTCCTTAAGGATGACGTCACTTTAAATTCTCAGAAGTCCATCTCAGCAGCTTTGCTGTGTGGTTTTAGCAGGCAAAGATCAGTTTGGCAAAAGTCACAGGAATATCCTCTCTTCCTCTGACGTTCCCTCCCTGCTCATCCAGGTCCAGAACGCCCGGTCTGAACTCCACACCAAAGAGCCAAGGATACACCTAAAGAATTTGCTGTGCGCACACACGTGCATGCAGACTGATGTTAGAGATGTTCCAGTTTGTCCTGATTGAGGCCCTGATAGGAGGCAGAGTCAGTGAGACTAGGAGGTAACTGGTCACTTTGTAGGAAGACACAGTTGAAGAATTCAGAGTCCATTAATCTCTCGTCACTTTTGCATAAAACAGGTTTTCATCACCCAGAGTCTGGTGAGGAGAGATGAACCCAAGGGTTCAGAGCTGCAGCTTTTATACTCAATAAGAAGGAACTGAAGGAAACTTTTATGAATATCCTTATTTGTAGGTCATCCATGTGAAGAAATCTCCCTCGTTTCTGTGCATGGCGCCATGAAAGACCTCGGTTCTTCATCCTGTCACTGCAGTAGGTTCTCACCAAACGTTACAATTAATGCTTTGATTTTTATGATTTAAAAGTTGCTCTTTTTTTACATTATCACTTTCTTATGAAGACCGACCTAGATCTGTGTTCTAAGAATGACTAACTTTCTCTGTATTGACACCTCAAAGGGGACAGGAAGTGAGAAATCAATGATTAAAAGAAAACATTTATATACAGATTTGACATGCTTGGTGTAAATCTAACTTTAATATCTGTAAATTATAAATTCTAAGTTTTTAAAGAATCTGAAGTCTAGTTTTTCATCCTCTGTGACTTAAGATCAAAGTTTGGAGCCAGTTTGTTGTTTTTTACAGGAACCTTTCGTTCAGCCCGTCATCACTGATTGGTGTGAAGGAATGAAACCTCGTCGTTTCAGTTTTGGTCACAACTTTTAATGTAGAGTTTCTCAAAGAGGAAGTCAGGTCCTCCAAGGGGTCACAAGAGATGGTTTTTGCGATCACTGTAATCTCTGAGATATATGAAAGGCCAAAAATGTCAAATGAAAGACATACATTTTTTTTTTTTACATACAGACATTTAAATCTCATGTCAAAAATCTCGGGGTAACATTTGATAATGGGCTCAGATTTGACAAACAGATTAGCTCCGTTGTCAGCTCAAGTTTTTTCCAGCTCCGTCTTTTGGCCAAAGTCAAGTCCTTTCTCAGTCGGCAGGATCTTGAGAAGGCAATCCATGCTTTCATTAGTTCAAGACTGGACTACTGCGATGCCCTTTACGTTGGCCTCAGTCAGTCATCAATTTCTCGTCTCCAACTTGTGCAGAACGCTGCCGCCCGATTTTTAATAAACCTGTCCAGACGTGAACACATTGCACCCTGTGCTGTCGTCACTCCACTGGCTTCCAGTCCTTTTTAGAATTGATTTTAAACTTCTGCTGTTTGTTTTTAACGCCACCCATGGCTTTATCCCCTCTTACTTGTCTGAGATTTTAACTTTTCGCAATTGTGGCAGAGCTTTTCGCTCCTCGGGTCAGCTTCTGTTAGAGGTCCCTAAGTCAAGACTCTAACAGTGGGGCGATCGTTCTTTTGCCGTCGCTGCTCCCAGACTGTGGATCAAACTAGCCTTTTAAAAAAAAAAAGCTTAAAACCCACTTTTTAAAATTAACATTTCATTCTGACTAAGATAATACTCTGTGTGCCCCTTTCTATGCACCTCTGGAAGGCTTTTAATGTCCTGCAGTGCTGCACCACTACAGCACTTTTAATTGTATCTGTATGTTTTATATGTGTTATGTATTGTTTTATGGTTTTATTGTAAAGCACTTTGGGTCCCATTTGGCTATTGTAAAGGGCTATACAAATAAATTTGACTTGATTTGATACAAGAAAAATAAATAAACCATGAAATAAGACTTAACATTTATTCATGTAATACCTCAATCCAAAATCAGATTTACCAATACATTTTAAAATGATAAATAAAAGTAAAAGTAAACATTATTTGTTTAAAAGTGAATATAAATACTTCATTTCATATGTATAAATAAATGTCGAGTCTGCTGCATAGTAATTGCTCAATGTGCAAAACTTTGAAGGATTTTATAGGAGAACGGACATAAGAAACCAAGTGGTTCAGATCAGGGATGGAGGCTTCTCTGCAATCGGGGAACAAACTGCTTCATTTTAAGCAGAAATGTAATCTCAAGTGCAAAGATTCTGTTCCCTGTGGAGTAGAAATGGTGCTGCAGTTCTGTTGACACGTCTTCAGCCCCTCTCTGCTCGCATTCAGCACCAGGAAGCCCACAGGGGGTGTCAGTGGGAGGAAGAGTCAGACAAATACAGTAACAATGGAGGCTCAATGCTGGCATAAACCCAGATTTGAAGTTTACTCAGGCGGACAGACGCATCCAAACACATGCAGGCACTGCAGCAGATTTACGGCGTTATTCCAGGACCCACCAAGAAGTGGAACCACAAAAGAGGTTTAGACTGAGGTGTCCTCCCTTGTTTTCCCACGTGTCCTTGAACAGAACTTTAATTATACGTGGATGCAGTAAATTAGTTAAACTGAGCTCTGGGAAGGACATAGAGAGGGAGAGAGTGTAGCAAATCAGAAAACAGCCAACAGAGTCAGAAAAGCTCAAATGAAACAGGCATTGAGCTGCAAAGAGCAGATGGGACAGAAGGAAAACATGTCTGTCATATGGACAATGGTCCCTCTTACTCCACCACCTGTCGTTAGGCTTTGGGAGCAAAAGGATTTCCTCTATCCCTGTTACCTTTACCTGATGAGATGGAGGTTGTTCATCATAACATAGCCGTAATGTTGCAGGCAGACCAGCGCAGAAGAGCTCGGCTCATCTAAGCGACAGGTATCACAGACCTGAAGGCTGCAAAGCCACATGCCAGGCTTACGGTGCTGTCAGCAGCTCTCAGATCCCAGAAAGGAAACATGACGCCTCAAAGGACTGAATTCCTGCAGCCGCTCAGCCGCAGCACATGGCTGCATTCCTGTTTCTAAACTGTAGTAGACTGTGCAACAAACACAAATTTGTTATTTTGCTGTTTTAACTGCAGTTTAGTCAAGCCGGAAAATAAAAATGTGATTTTTACAATATTTATGAACCGTATTGATCTTGATTTTCTTCATACTTTTCTTTTAAGCAGCTGTAGAGTGATTTTTTGATATTTTTATTGAAGAATAAAGGTTTTATTTGCTCTTTCCTTACAATTATTCATTATTTCCTCTCATACGAGATCCTGACAGCATAACCAGTGCAATGAATCAGTTGAAATGATTGGAGTAAGTCAAAAATTAATCACTTCAAAAATGAACTAATGAGAGATTCCTCAGTGGTCTTTTGAAGGTCTTTAGTTAACTGTTCTGGTAGGAACATCTTTCTTTTAGACATGCAGGCAAAGAAAATTAGCACAATTAGGCCTTTTTTTTATATTTATGAAAAAAAAGAGCAGGAAGAACAAAGATGAATCCATTTTCTCCTTAGTTGTGTGAGTGAGCACAAAACAGATTCATAATTTTTTTAAATGTTTTTCTGCTTCTATTATCAATGGGTCAGAATTTAAGCATTTCATAAATAAACAGAATAAAAAAATGGTTCTTCTGAAAATCTTTTTTTTTAGAGGAAGACTATTTTACATCAGGAAGATATCGACAGCATTTAAATTCCTCTTGGTAAGAAAATACTATCAAAAATAATCTATGGGTTAGCTGTGTCTGTAAAGCAGCTAATTGCAGGCTAGCGACCTGATCAGTTAGCTAATTTACCAGCTAATAGCAGCTTGATGCATTTACTTTGTACACATAAGCCAAAAAAGGTTTCATATAATGTCATATTATTTTCATATTATTTCAGTACTTTTATACAATCGAAATAGTTTATTTGTGTGTAAATACAAACATTCTTACGATGTATAACTTCTGCTTCTATTTACACACAAACCATATGAAATGTGTATTAGCTTAGCCCTACTTCAAATGACAATTTTCTGCATATTTGTTGAAATCCAATCTGTTTGGTGCCCCCCTCAGGTTGAATATATGTTACTGCATCTGATCTTTGCTATTGGCTTGGCCTGGTATGTGATGTCATTTGGAAGAATTGATGTCAGCAGTTCCCTGGATAGTTCAGGTTAGCTTAGGGACTAGTTTGTTTATGATGAGAAATGAAAATAAATCATGATTATCTCCATTTTAAAGGTTAATGAAAATAGTAAATGCATTAAAATAGGATGAAAATCCGTTTTCATCATTTTTCTAGTATGTTCAAATGTGTAGACAATAGTTGGTGGCAGTCAGTGACATGGCCAGAGAGCTATTGGAAAAAAAAAATATTGAGGAAAGAAAAAAAAATAAAAAAATAAAAATAAAAAGATGCTGGATCATCCCTAAATGCATAATAGTTGGACAAAAAGGATTGTCTTTATCGTTCTAGGCTAAAAAAAAAAGAACACTTTCAGGTTTGTTTTGTGTCAGTAGGTTACCAGACTTGATGGTTATTAATTTTGGTATATCAGAGTGTTTGGTTCATATCTTTAGTGACGGTCCCCATGAGAAGCGACATATGAGGAAGGATGGTGCAGAACCTCATAGAACCTCTGAGCCAACGGCTCAAACTCGTATTGCTCTTGGGCCAGAGGTGTCAAGTAATGAAGTACAAATACTTTGTTACTGTACTTAAGTACACTTTTTAGGTATCTATACTTTACTCCATTACTTATTTTTCTTCCTACTTCTGACTTTTACTGATTACATTTACACACAAGTATCTGTACTTTTTATTCCTTAACTTTTTTTAAACAAACATTAGTTGTTACTCTTGGCTTCGGTCTAATGTTTATAAATGTTTATTTCACATCATGTGCTCCATCCAATGCAGATCATTGGCTCCATCCACATCTAGTGAAAACTAGTGTAATTGGTTGAGTCATAGAACGCAAACACTCATTGGTTAGTTAAAGGAAATCATCAGAAACAAGCAGGTGTTCTTCAAACTGCTAACATGAATTGTCTATTTCATGCTACAATGTAGGATTCAAAAAAAGATGTTGAAATGTATGAAAGGTCGGACACAGGCGAGAGCGTATCGAGAGACCGAGACCAACAAGAAACCAACTTAGCCCCATCTCAAAGAATTAAAAAATTACGCTTTCAATTCATATAGTGGCATCTGGCTGTTTTTTTTAAGGTTACTTTATACTTTTATACTTTTAGTAGTTTTTGGAGCACATACTTTTTCACTTTCACTTGAGTTAAGAGGTCAAGTTGATACTTCAACTTTTACCAGAGCGTTTTTAAACTGCAGTATCTATACTTCTACTTTAGTAACAAAATTGTCTACTTTTGACACCACTGCTCTGGGCTGCTTGTCTCCTCCACAGAACCATCCTCTCGTTGCTTCTGTTTCCTCTGTCTCTGGTTAAGACAGCAGAAAGAGACCCGACAGTTCCGTTGCAAACCATCATATCTGGAATCCTCTGTTTGTGTTGCCAAAACTGCCAGTGTGCCACTCTCAGCCCCCTCCCTGTACATTCAGGTGGTGTCCTCTAGACACCACCTTCATCACCTTGTAGTAGCAGCATTTTAAGTTTTGGCTCCTCTCTCCTTGAAGTTGTGCTTTTAGGAGATTGGATTTTGTTATTTTATGGGAACTAAAAAAGTCTTAAAAGGTAAGAGAGGGAAAAATGATTGTCTACTCACCATCGTCGCTGTCGGCCAGAATTGTGACTTTGGCGGAAGGGAAATTTGCGCCCAGCTGACCGCCCATCGGCATACTGAGGCTGACGTTGAAGCTCTCCTCTTCCTCGTAGAGGGAGTCATCGATGATGATGATGCGGCAGATCTTTTCCCTCTCATCCTTGTCGAAGCGTAGCACGCTGGTGTGGTCCTCGGGGCGGGTGATGTAGTCAGAGTAGGAGAGGACGGTGGTGGGTATGGTTCCGGTAGCAGTACCTATGGTGGAACAGAAACTTTATTCCTGTGGGAGAACTTCCAGCATTAGATGATTGGAAGCACTTTTCCAAACAGGTTTATCTCACCTTGTTGAGTGAAACAAACCACCATAAGTTCCTGGCTGGCATCTCCTGAGCGCCTGACTGGTACCAATAGCTCCCCAACATCCTCCTCTATCCTGAACTCTGCTTGTGGAATGAACACCTTTGATTCTATTAGGAAAGAACATCGATCAGGGTACGCATTTAAGGAAACGGGAAAGTCATACAATTCTCTGCATCAGATTCCTACCATCTCCAGGATCTACTATCTCCACTGTTGCTGTATCGGGGTACTCCAGAACCGCCATGACGGGGTCTGACAGCTGAATCTCAAAAGTCTCTGAGGTCTCAAACTCCTGGTCAGTGAAGATCTTCACCTTCCAGGTTGCTGTCGTCTGGCCCGGGTTAAACTGGACCTGCTTCTGGGCTTTGCCACGGAAGTCCTTGTCCTTCTCAGCAGATCCGTCCTTTGTTCCGATGCCTGAAAAAGAGAGGAACCCAATGAGCCGTAAGATGTGGGTTTTCGATTCCTATATATGAATAAAACAAAAATAATTCCAACAGAGATAGAAGGGCTGGATATTTTTGTTTTCCTTAAACCAGATTCTTGCTCATCAAAATGGCCTCCAACAGGAAACATCCAACCACATCAGTTGGTGCTCCTCACTTCGATGTGTTTTTGTATAGTTTAAAAGTCATATTTGTCGATGCGGGAGAAAGACTTTAAGCATAATCTGTGTTTTCCTGTTTTACAATTTACGCTAGTCAAACATATTATGATAAAAAAAACAACTATGCTGATGTTAGCCTTCTTGGGTTTACTCTGTAGGTTCCATTTCTAACCATGTCATCTACCCAGCATGCATTTCACGGTGGAAAAAATGGTGACCTCCTTTAGTGATTGATATAACAAAGGATATAATATTAAAAATTAATCAATTGAAATGATTGGATTAATCGGATGTACTTCTATACTTCCGAATAAGAATTGGACGATTGCTGTAAAATGGCACTGGAGCTAAAAAGATGAAACTATTTTTCCAATGGACAAATAAAACTATTATCACCAACTATTCAGCAGGCGTCATCACTTACTGATGAAAGAGGTTTCTCCCAGATAGCCTCTACGTTTCAGCGTCACCTCCAGGAATTTGGCATCTTCATCCACCAGGTAGTATTCCCGCTCCAGTGAGATCCAGGCCCAGTTAAGACGAAACGGCTGCGCTTTGAGTTTGTTTCCACCTGCAGAGGGATAAAGGGCCTTGATTCAAATCTGCCACAATACTTTGTTCTAATTCCGAGTCAGTGAGGCGGCTAAACTGAAATCCCTGGTGAGCTCAAAGATAAATGGAGCTTTTTAATTTCAGGAGGGAAACATGATAAGTTAATACCAAGACTTCCTGGAAATGATCTTAACTCCAGCTTGAGTAGTTCTACAATCTTCTGTTTTTTTTTTTTTTTTTAAGAATTAAGATTAACTTTTTCTATATAACTGATTTGCAGCAATTTTTTTGGTACTGGTAAACTGTTGCAACAAATAGCTTTAAAGCAATCTCACCAAGTCGTTCTGTTACGGTGAGGGCATTAAAGCTGTTAAATTAAACTTATTCCTCTCCCTGAATGAGCAAAATGAGCAACGGGCCTCTTTCTTCGGGACGCAGTCATAAACTCAGCATCACTCAGTAAATGTTGCTCAGATCCAGCAAGGAATCAGCTGGATGTTGGAGCCCAGCAGCAGCACCTTTGCTTGATCGTTAATTAGTGAGCTGCAAACAGGAAATCCAATCCTTTGCTTCTGGCTGGTTAATGCGCCAAACTTAAACATGATCATGTTAACAGCTGTAGAAGTTTTAAATCACAGCAAAGGAACAAACATTTTCTTCAGAGATGTCAGCCGTCAATTCAAGCTGCTAATTTGGGATTTGCTGCGTTTATCTGTTCAAAGAATCCAGTTCTGTTTTTTGTGGGACATCTTGTCACCAGGATTGCTTGCTCTTTTTTTTAACCTAAAAATAAGCTAATTATTCCAGGGAACACACGTCATTCTAACTCTGCCAATGATTATTATTATTATTATCGTTAATATCATTAAATTTGTCAGACAGTAGGAACCTTTTTCCTTCTTAAAAGACACTTCAGCTTGAGTTTTAGTTTATCCTGTTGGTCCAACAGAAGCTTTTTCTCAGATTTTCTGGGAGGGTTGTTACCCTCTGAAATATATATATATATATATATATAATTTTTTTTTTTGCAAATGACAAAAACTGATCTGGAAATAAATGAAAATATCTTTCCTTTTAATTTGAGCAGGTAAAAAGGATGGTCAGCCAGTGGAATGAGTATTTTAGGCTTTATAATAAGAAAATTTGATATCATCCACATGAAACGTAATAAGTGAGTTAGTGTTATTTTAAATGTACATATTGTAGATCAGCTTTTTGGACTCCTTTCCCTTATTCTTAAAATTTACTCTTTTCAAACCTCATAATTTATGCTTGCCAGGGAACCACCCAGTCTAACAGAACTCCAACATCTCTGCCAGGAACAAGTCAAACATTCAGGCGGAAATATGCCAGAAACGAGATTGTGGCTTTAGAGAACAGCAATAAAACGTCCTACAGGTTTATTAGTTTGAACATATAGAGGCCCGGCTCTTAATGCTGAACAAATATTCCCCTCAACAGGTAGAATGAAAAGATCTAAGTCCCATAGCTCTGGTCCTCAACCACTCTATCTCATGACTTAAATAATCCCCCCAACTGTCGGATCAGTTTAGTTCGTTCGATACTTTAGGAATCCTTAAGATCACAGGTTTCTCCTGTAATTAGAGTGGTGGCCTGTGACATGTGAAGGTAAAAGGGTCAGACTTAGCAGATTCCTCTCTGAGTTCTGGTCAAGGAGGTTGGACAATAAGTTTCCCACTGGCAGCAGCCTGTGGACTTTAATCTGCTCAGAAGAAGCGAAGAATACTGTTAGGGAGTATGGTTGGAAAACCTGAGAGCTTTACGTCGTAGCATTCAGGTGTCAGAAAAAAAAAAATCACCTGTTTTAAACAAAAAACTGGAGAAAAATAAAACCTTAACATATCGGTACTGAGCTCAGTTTTGCTTCAGTGACAAAGAAAGAGGCCACAGCCTTTATGCAATGTGTATGGAGAGAATGAGGACGAGGGGGGTGGGGGGTCATCTGTCATCGGATCGGTGGGGGAAACGCCTTCCTGAAACTCATGTTTCAACACTAAACCAAGCAGAAAAACTATGGATGCAGTAGGATGAAGACAGACTCGATTAAATCAGACATCCTGGAGCAGGATTTATTGGTTTATCATGATTATTGGTTAATAAGATGCTGTAACTTACCGTAGGAATTCAATAAAAAAATCAATAACACATCAGCTAACTTAAACAGTCAAGCTTAACTTTTTATTTTACTTCAATAGAATTCATAATCACTATCAATACATTAAAAACTAAATCTCAAATTGGGTTGTTTATTCAATCATTTCTTCCAGCCTCCCCTGCAATTACACTACCCCCACCCTAGGGGGTGCACCCCCCTACTTGGGAACCACTGCGCCAATCCAAAAGCTAACGTCAGGCATTTGTACCTCGCTGTTGATAGACATGGGCTCCATCCTATCAGTAAGAAAACTTGAGCAAAAGTGCGTCAGTTTGCCTTCATGAAACAGTTCTGGCTGTAATAAAAAGAAGGAGGCAGGAATAGGAAGCAGGAAGCTTTTAGCATCAAGTCATTTAATGTGGGGGGCCGTCACTATCCGATCTGTTCTTGTAGGACATCTGTACCATCAGCTTATTTGGATGTGATCAACCAGACATACATACAGCCCACTTTTGAATAAGGTAGAAAAATGTTGAATAATATCATCAATGATTAAAGCATGCAAAACTACATTGTATAGAATATCAATGATGATGAATTTCTATTCTTTCCCTTATATTGCTTGTGGGATGTCATCATCGTCTTCAGCAGAGAGACCAAATATGATCGCATGGAGATAAAGAAGGACGGTAGAGGTTGGATGTAGAATGAAAAGCAGAAGAGATACCATTGGCTACCATTGACCGCTGGTGGACGACCAACAAGCACTGAGTGTAAAATTCGTTATGGTTGACATGTTTGTTTCAGCGTACGCATGTTAGGGGTGGGGAGGGCTGGTTATGTGTGAAGGTTTCATGGTGATGGGACCTCTAACTGACAAAGAAACTTTCAAACCTAGTTTCATCTTTTTTCCCCCCAAGCTTTTTATTGTCACTACACTGTCACAAGTACAGAGCAACGAAATGAACTCTCTGCATTTAACACATCTCCTTTGGGAGCAGTGGGCTGCCATTGCGCCTGGGAAGCAGTGTGGGGTTAAGGGTCTTGCTCAGGGACCCAGAGTGGCAGTTTGTGGGAGTAGGGCTTGAACTCAGAACCTCTGGATTCCAAGTGCAATACCCTAACCACTAGACCACCTGAGAAGGTAGCTTTCCTGATCGGGAATCAAGCTGAGGCCACGGGTGTTAGAGTGCTGAATCCTGACCACTAGACCAAAAAAGGACCAATTAAGTTCTTGAGGGATAGAAGTTGAATGTTCTATCAGATGGGACCGGGATAGAAGTAGAAGAGTCACAGAGATCTGAAATCAACCTTGGTTGGTGCAGCACTGAGTGAAACAAGGAACACATTCCCTCTTTGGTCCAGAAAGGTCCCATCTATTGAACAGATCTTTATTCTATTTATTGACAGAGATGGCAAAAGTACTCACTTGAGTAAAATTACAGATACTTGTGTTAAAAATACTCTTGTAAAAGTGGAAGTACTGATTAAACTTCTTTACTCAAGTAAAAGTAACAAAGTACAGGCTTGTAAATTTACTTAAAGTATAAAAGTAAAAGTAGAACCACTTTTTTCATGCCGTTGCCTACATTTTAAATGGATGTCTGCCAATAGGACTAGATCTCCGTTGTGTTCATTTTCAATCATCTCGTCGTCCATGCTACTATGCTAACGCCACCGCCACCAAGCTGCAATGATTTGCCGCCAATGAATACCGCCGAATCTGTCGATTCATCTTGTAGTGGTGCGTCAAATGCAACGTAGATTCCCATCCAATTAGATTGAATTTGGTATTGATGACGTGAAAAATAATAACGGTAACTCCATTGAAATGATTCAAAACTAAAGTAATGAGCCAATTTTTTTAAATGTAAGGAGTAGAAAGTACAGATATTTGTGTAAAAATGTAAGGAGTAGAAGTAAAAAGTCGCCAAAAAAATAAGTAGTAAAGTAAAGTAAAAATATCAGAAAAATCTACTTGAGTACAGTAACGAAGTATTTGTACTTCGTTACTTCCCATCTCTGTTTATTGAAAATAATGAAACTTCAGACCTCTAAGGGACAAGGACATCAGCGTGAACCCAAAATAACATCCAACTCAGAGCCTTGTTACTCTGCTAACAATGCAAGCAGATAAAATCTGTCAAACTCTGAGCTTCAGGTTTGTTTTTGTTAAAAAAAACAACCTCAAATATCTTTATTGTTCTGGTTTCCTGTTCTTTTAGCTTCCTTAAACTATTAGAGTCAAAAGATTCTATATAACATAACATTAAAGCATATTTATTGCTAGTTGGTGTGATGCTTATCAAACATCCTCATTAAGCCTTTTTATTGAGCTTGATGGATGGACAGGAAAAGAAAGAGAAGCAGAGAGTCTTTAATAAGCTTCACTTATCAGATTGCTTCTGTGCTGATCTTTGGAGAGCTGGCCCCAGGCCCGGTTTGAGGCTCAGATGGAGATGAAGCTCTGCCAGCGGCTATCATCAAGGATTATCAAAGAACACGACTGGAGACAAAAAGCTGCTTCAAGTTTGGCGTCAAGTAATCAGGAAGGTCTGCTTTTCAGCTTTAAAATGGGTAGAAAATAAAACAAAGGAGGTTTTATGAGTCAGCAGCATGAGACTACAGGTATTCATGAAGTGCTGCAGCTTAAACCCTTCCACTGCAGCCATCTGTCCCAACCCATGATGCACAGAGAGGACCAGGTTTAAAATCATTACCACTGCCTTGAAATCTTCACATTCAAGCAGCAAGACTGGTTTTTCAGGTGGACTTATTTAAAAGTTGTTTTTTTTTATGATTTCTTCATGTTTTGGTTGCTTACTTCTCACATCCAGTCCGTTTCATCCTGAACACTGAGAGCGTTCTGGCTTCCTTTGCACAGAGGCAGCTCCTCGTTGGGT